CGAAAATTTCATTTTTCTACCCCCTAGCACCCCCTTCGACCAATCTGAGAGACTTGATAATTTTTGTGAGGGTTGAGGGAGTTGCGCTGAGTATTTTTTCATCAATATTTATTGGTGGTTTTGCGTATTATTAGTTGGAGATTTTTTTTTCTCCCGAAAAACGCGAAAATTTCATTTTTCCACCCCCTAGTACCTTCTTGGACCAATCGGAGAGACTTGATGATTTTCCTGGGGGTTGAATGAGTTGCGCTGAGTATTTTTTCATTAACATTTGTTGGTGGTTTTGCATATTATTAGTCGGAGATTTTTTTTTCCCCCCGAAAAACGCGAAAATTTCATTTTTCTACCCCCTAGCACCCCCTTGGACCAGCCTGAGAGACTTGATGATTTTTCTGGGGGTTGAGGGAGTTGCGCTGAATATTTTCTCATCAATGTTTGTTGGTGGTTTTGCTTATTATTAGTTGGAGATTTTTTTTCCCCCTGAAAAACGCGAAAATTTCATTTTTCCACCCCCTAGCACCCTCTTGGTCCACTCTGAAAGACTTGATGATTTTTCTGGGGGTAGGGGGAGTTGCACTGAGTATTTTTCCTTTAACATTTGTTTGTGGTTTTTTTTATTATGAGTCGAAGAATTTTTTTCCCTCTGAAAAACGCGAAGATTTCATTTCTCCACCCTCTAGCACCCCCTTGGACCAATCTGAAAGACTTGATCATTTTCCTGGGGGTCGAGGGTGTTTCGTTTAATCTTTTTTTATAACAATGTGCTGGTGGTTCTGGCTATTTATGGTGCCGAAATTTTTTCTTCCCAAAAAAAAGACAAAAATTGAGATTTTCATCTCCCTACCACCCCCTTGGCCTGAACAAAGGGGGTTGATCATATTGTGGAGAATGGGGAGGCTGTTCCAGATCATTTCAGAATTTAGAACTTAAATAGGAACAATTTTCAGTTTTCGTATTAAGGTATGGGGCCCCACAGATCCTTACCACGGCCCTGAACTTTCGCTGCCAAGTCGGCTGCCAACTTCAGCGTCATCTACAAAATAATATAAAAAATTTTGGTGTAGTCCAAAAAATGATTGTACAGTAAATACTCCCTAGGATTTCAGTAGGGGAATGTACTTTCCGCAATTAACGTGTAGTGGTAGTATAGAGGCGTGTGCCCCTCGGCGTGACGGGAACTACGGGAGAAGTGAAACAGGCAGATTACACTCTCTCTATGAGTGGGGGGCTCCAGGACGTTTCAGTACGCAGAGTGTTTAGCCTCGAAGCCGAAATCATACGGAGACTCTACTGTATCGTAAAATCCCTTATACCAGGGTATCTTTCCATCCTCCTCTAATTTTTCAAATTTATATGAAATTTTCGGCATGCATGCATGGCGAAAACCACCTCCCTGGTCTCAAGGACTCCAGATATTGGGAGACAAACATTTTTTTTAGTCCGTACAATTACCATATGGTAAAATCTCCTTCAAGAATGTTTCCTTTTATCTTCCTCTATTTTTTTAAATTGATTTGAAATTTCCTAGTGCATGCAGCTAGCTGCAACCCGTTCCTACACGTTAATCCCACGTTAATGGTCCCAAAAATCGAGAAAAAAAAATTTTTTGGGTCGACAAAATTAGCGAATCCCAAAATACCCTTCAATGAGGTATGTTTCAATCCTTCTCCATTTTTATAGTTCATTGAAAATTCAAGCATATAGCTACAATCTAATCAGCAACCTCCTCTTACGCGTTTATAATCTCAAGAAATAAAAAAACAATAGTTTTTCGAATTATCCTATTCCAAAATGGCCTCCAATAGCATCCCTTTTCATCATTCTCTATTTTTTTGAATTCATATGAAATTTCAGGTGCATTTCTATAGCAATATTCTCCTCCCCCGCATCAATCACACTAAAAACTGACACAAAATAATTTTTTCGGTAAAAAAAACAACATATCATGAAATGCCTTTTGATACGGAACCGGTGTATACTTCTCAATTTTTTGGAATTTACTGATCGATACATGCAACCCCCTCCTCCACGTTAATGACCCCAAAAATAGTGGGAAATATTTTTTTGGCTAATCAGCCAACGTTGGAATGCCAACGTTTTTTTCGGTGAGCAGAGAAAATTTATTGTCCTTCTCGCATTGTTTTGCTCGATACAGAATCAAGAAGACGGACGGAGTTTCATCTTACGATTGATCGACTTTTCCATTAATTCAAGTTTTTTCTCCTTGTATACGGAGAATAGGCAGAATTTTGTATTCATTTTACATGAGTAGAGAAATAGAAGCTACGAATGAAATTCTCGTGCATATTTAGGTTACCCGCAGCAATTCAAAGATATTTTAAAATAGCAGATACTGCCTTGAAATTGGCTTGTACTTTTTCTTGGAATATTGTCTTGAGAATTGGAACGCTAAACGAGAGAAAACCACTGAATCAGTTTATTCAAGTGGACAATTTTTTCAGAGTTTGCCAAGAAGTTATGTAATAAAATTATTACATTTACCTTCATAATTCCACCGATGAATAATTTCCTTGCTGTATTCAATTCTTTTATCATTTTGTCGGAGATGAAGATAAAGGCCACTTGTTCTTTCATCTCTTCATCAATAAATTTCACTTTCCCCCTGAAATAGTCACGCAAAGAATATGTAGAATCATTCGTAAATCCGTCCTCGAGATCTTCCAAATGATCGGGAACAGCGCGTAGGGGTTTAGATGCACGTCTGATGAGACTATCAGCGCGTGATATTGAAAACCGGGTCTGCACGTCTTTGAATTGAGGCCTAAACAAGGATGGATGTTGAGGGAATAATACTTTATATAAAATGTGAAAAGATACGAACTTTGTGGCTGTGGTGTTCAAGATTTTATGGGGCTTCTTGTCTGTGTTGATCGATTCGTGTTGCATTGTGTGATACATCAATCGCTCTTCTAGAAAGAGCTCATCTTTGTCACAATAATGTTTACCGGTCACTTTTAACTGTCCATTAATCAGAGTCTCCACTCTTGCGGTGTAGCCCTTTCTGTTCTTTCGTCTAAAAATATATCGGAAATTTTTCTCTTTCTCCTCCTCCGATAATTCTTTCGAGCGAATTTCCGCGTGATACCGATAACCTCTGAGGTAATAAAGCCAAGTGTTCTCACGCTCCCCAGGAATTTTTAACATTTCCTTCGCCTCACAGATAACCCCTTCGAAAGTATCATCCTCCCCCGACCACATTATTACGCTTCGGGTTACCGTAAATGATGAGAAAAAAAATGATCTACTATTGTCAATTATCTTTCGGCAGCCACGCGTCGGTCACGACTGGTTGAAGCTATTGCGATTTAGCATTATTCAATGTCTTTCCCCCTCCTAATAATTTCAATGAAACATTGACAAGATGTGAGACCAAATTATCATCCCAAAAACATCGAAAAAACATTGATGAAGTATTTTTTGGATTAACAAAGTGGAGGTTTGAAAGAATCTGCGCTAAACGTATCGTGGAATCTCGCTGGCAAAGAGCTGGGGACGAATCGTGATCGACGAAAATCTGTCGACGAAACGTTGACATACCATCACTATCGATGCATAACTGCCCGAGAAATTTCAAAAATTTTGGAATAGTATGATGTATTGGAATAGTATGATGCATCGCTTAACTGGTCCGATTAGCTGAATATCACAGGTTGATAACGCACTGTTCATACAAAAAAACAACACTTAGAAATAATTTCAATTCCTTTTTTTTCCGTGTATATTGCATGTGTATTTCAATGCAAATTGAGAATCAGTTGGTATCATTAGACTTACTTTGCAAATCATACAGGTTTTCTTTACTCTTTTTTTATTTATTTCAGAAGCAATAATTCAATTTAAAAAATATGTAAAATTAATATTTTGATTCAGATCGTTACCACAGAAATCCTTCGCTTTGAATATTGGAATTTTTTATGAACTTTCATTCTCCAATGATCAAGAAGGAATATTAATTTCTCTCGACGAATTATTAAGGAAAATAATTACATAGAATGAGTCGTATTAATGTGTCAATATCTCGATGAGATATCGGGCGAGTAACGAACAGTATTTTTGGTCATCGCATCCGTAGGCAGGGGTTCACGGACGGAAAAACTAGAAATTTTGTCAAGGAACTCTGCGCAAAAACCAAGAAAAATTGCATGAGTGCACTTCCGGTAAAACTCTAACATCATTTATATTAACTGTTGCTCCTTTTTCACATAGTTTATACGCCTGAACACTGAAGGATTACGTGGGAATAATCAATCTTTCAAGTGTGAGATTTATTCTATTTGTGACTAATTTTTTCCTGAATTTACAAAATAATGCTCAACATCATGAATTTCATAAATCACTCGTTGAATTCTCAAAAGTCTAACGATCGACAGTTGCGAACAGAAATTCTCCGAAAAACCGTGGAGCGTCAGTGTTTACATGCGCAGGGGAATTGAAAGACGGAGCTTGTGCCCAAGTACATCGATCATTCCGATGTTTTTTACGTTTTAGTTCGATGTTTTAGCGATCTCTTTCGATGCCATTGTGCTCCACGGTATCCGTTACGATCGGTGAGGGGGATCGTGAGCGTGCGCACAGAGTCAACGTCACCCTCGGTTGTGAGGATTTTAGTGTTCATATTTGCGTAACACTGGTGTTGATCACCTCGTCGTGCAGTGTCCGGTGTGGTTGATTTCAGTGTTTCTCGTGCTTTTTTAAAATAATAATTGAAGATGCCTGCCAAGGGGACACGAAAAAGGAAATTGAAGGAACGTGCATCATTGGAGAAGAACGAAAATATTGGGTGAGAAGATTAAATAAATTAAATTTAGTTGAACATATAAATTACTCGTGAAATTGTTCTTTATACATTGCATGCGCTAGAGGTCAAAAGGTATTCAGTGAGAGGTCCACGGGTCGACTTTGTTTGTTTTTAGTTTTTTTGAGTCGTAGAATCGGAATTGGTTTGTGGGGCTTCACCAAACTTTTTACCAGAATTTTCCTGATTTTAATTCAGTTAATGAAATAATTGCACGATAATTTACATTTTTAATTTTTAATTTTTTTTATTTGGAGGATAAATATTATGTTCATATTTTGATGAAAGCAAAACAGTTTTATGGAAACTATCACGCATTCCTGTAATTACGTATCTACTGATTAATTGTGTCAATATTGCTCCTCCTTAATATCTTGTTATTTCAGGCCAATTAAGGATCAAATTTTGTATGCCTCGATAAGTGTCCTTGATAGCCAAAAGATGAAAGTGTTACCGTTAAAAGAGATCTTCTTTTATTGGAAGAACTCCAGCGAAAAGTTACCTGTCACAGAACGAGTACTGCGTGCATCAAATAATGGTCGCTCCTCATCCCTGAAAATTCTCGAAGATGGTGCAGAGAAGGATGTTGTCATTGCAAAAACTTCATGTGAGTGAACTACATTTTTTTTTATGAATGCTCAGAATGTTGCAATCAAATATTTTATTGTTGATGTATAAACATCTATACGCGCGGTATTTACATTCTGTGACTCTCGAGTATAAGCTCTCTCGCTCCCGCAATGCCGGAAAAATAAAAAAAAATCTAAAAAAATCCAAATAAAAAAAAAGAATAAATTAAAAAAATAACAAAAACAAAAAGAACAATTGATACGACAGCAGTAAGTTATCCCGTATTATGTGTAAAGATCATGCGTACGGTACCTCTGTGTTTTTGTATGAGTGTATTCATATGATTAATTGGAAAAAAAGGGAAGAAATTACTGAAAATTTCATAAATTCTCAGTAATTATAAAAGAATGAGAATGAATCATATAAATACACTTCTTAAATATTCGAATTTTCGTTTAGAACTTGAGTTAAAGTTGGAGTGTACAGGGCTAACATCGTATACTACACGGAAACAAAAACACCAGAAAAATTATCATACTTGCACCCTCAATTGGGTTTAAAGAACTCTGCCAGGTAAAGTTTATCACGAAGAGTACGAAGCATTAGTAGTTAATCCGGATTTTTTCCACGAAATTGAATGATTTTTTATTGAAAATTTCATCAGAACTATGTTCCTCGTAGCACAGTAAAATAAGTAGGACACTGATTCTTTACAAAATATATTCCCGAAATATTACTGATTCCACAGAATTAAATACCGTGCTCAGAGGAATTTCACTGTATGTGAGAATATTGTCGCCAAGGAATGCAGTATTGTAGCATATATTCAATGTATTTTTATCAGTGTTGACACTAAATTTCTTTCTGTGCTTGGTGGTTGGAACTACTTAACTATACGGCACGGTAGCGTAACTTGCCCAATAGATGGACGGTTAAGACCGATAGCTGGATGATTGAGGGAGTTTTTTTGGTAAAAAATGGAGTCGTCCATCTACTGGGCAAGTTACCCTAATTTTCAACTGGATTTATAGAAAACCATTGTCGCATTTTTTCCTCAGTAGGAGATAATGAAACCGAAAATAGTAAGAGAAATTACGTAATTCCACAGATGACCTATTGCAACTGAGGAAGTCCTTGGAGAATGCAAGGAGGCCATTGAAACCAAAGTTAACCTGGGAACCAACGCAGTCGGTGAAGTCTTCAACAATGAAGATTGTTCCTCAGATGGTTAAAGTAAGTATATGTGTTTTATACACGTGGGACAAGAGCTTCATTAGTTCCATTTATTTTGAGAGATATTCACGTTTCGTTTCATGTATGAGTATCTTCGCGTATGTCTAGAACTGTGTCGATAACCCCAGAACATTCATTACAAAAAATAGTAAATTCTGGTTCTTAATTGGTACCAATGGAACCCAAATCTGTGCTTAATCCCAGCTCGTTCGGTTGAATGGTTACAGAGATATAGCAATTTCTCAAAAATAATTTTTTACAAATATATCAAGAACGACTTGACCAATTTCATTTTTTTTAAATCGAACTAATCGTTACGATGATACCTATCCCATCGCATAGCAATGTAATCACCCCGCTGTGCAAAAATTGAATTTTATTGTTATATTTTCATTTCTTCGACCAATTTGCTTGTTACCACATTCACTTGAAAAATAATCGATATAGAAACTTGAAACTCCGTAGGATTTCAGGTGTTATAGTAACGAAGTTTGGTATTGTAGATGGACGAAATCGGACGAGTAGTTCCACAGATATTCTTCATATTTCCGGAAATAACTTTATATGTGAACCCATTTTCTTCAATATCTTCCAAATTACTGCTCAGATTCCAGTTTTTCTTTTTTCAAAATACTCGTCTGAGCGTCTACGATCGAGATCAGCCAAATTATGAATATCCATCGATACAAAGTTTTTGAGATATTAGCGTTTTTCTCACTTGTGTATAAAATTTTGTGTCGATAGATTGAGTACATATCCGTTATAGAGCCGTTTATCGACCTAAAAAAATGGCACATAGACATTTTTTTATTAATCAACCCATCACCGAACATCCTTAATATCTCGAAAACTGGTTCACTGACATCAATTTTTTCAACACCAAAATATTTTTATGAGATTATCCATCGAATAAAATCAGAAAGTTAAGTAGAAATTGCCATTTTTCATTTTTGAAATAGAATTGCTGTGAATTCATTCGGAAGCTTACTACCAATGGAATTGGTAGGAATAAGAAAATGTAAAGACTAATAATGCATGAAGTAGCGGTGTTTTTCTATCGAAGCACTTCACTCGCGTGGATCTCCGGTAAAATCCTCGTCATCTTAAAAGCTCTCAACCATTTCATTTTTTTTCCGTGTACTAAGTTGATGGTTTAAAAAAAAGAAGTTAATGTATCATTTAACCCAACAGATTTCAGAACACAACAAAGAGAAAAGCGTAGAAGAATCAAACCGTCGCCGCGATTCCGCCATGCAGCAAGATGGAATTCTGCAGAGCCCCAATAGCCGTGAAAACCAGGGAGAAATCGAAGTTGCTGTAGCGAGAGATGAGTCAGCCTACTTTGGAATTGTCGAATATTGATTCTCAAGTAAGTTATATTTGCAGCAGGGAATCCTTGGAGGGCTTAAAACTTGAACACTTCCCTTTCTGCCTCGCAATTAACTCTACACACAACCTTGATACTTCGTTAGTCGCACCGCGCCGCACTCTTAACAATGGTTTCAATAACACTGGTTTCAAGCCATTAAAAAATATTCAAAAATTTTCACATCTCATTTCACTTATCGATTTATTTATTGAATGAAATGACATATTCAGAAATTTCTAGAGAAATTTAGGGAAATCTTGCATAAAAGCTTTACCAATAATGATCTCCATAAAAGAAACTCCGAAAAGAAAATAATGAAATTTTTATGTCGAAAATCCATGGCTTGATCCGTGTTACGGAACAGCGCAGCGCTGAATAATTGGAAAAAAATACTTCACTTTGCACTGCCATAAATAATTAATAATAATACTCACAGTCGCAATGTTTTAAACATTTCATTATATACCGAAATCCTGAAGGTCATTGTTAAATCATCTTCATATTGTTTGCATAGGTATTTATTCATTTTTTTGCCATGCAGCTCCGTTTACGGCGCGACCAACCGCGTTCGTAAGTCTTGTGCCACCTCAAGTCAGGATAATATTTTAGCCCTGTTTCGTGAAAGGTGTTTTCACCACTTTGCCTTATTCAGACTATTACGAAAGAGATTTAAGTTAACAAAATCGGTTTGTCAGTGATGACTGCACTAGGGAACGGTAGTTGGGGCACGATAAATGTTGAAAATGATCCTAAAAATTCCACACTTGTAAGTGATATAAAGCCTGAAGTTTTCATATCCAATGATAAATAGGGAAAATTTTAGAATAATTAAAATTTTGAAGTCAACTGATAAGTTGGAAATTGGTAAAATGTCCGGAAGAAAGTGATAATTATTTCGTTCTTGCAATTATTGATGATACATGAATAGTTTGGCTGTCAGAACCGCGCATATTATACCGATATTAGAATTTTCATTCCTCTGGACCTATCGCGAATGCACAGGAGTGATATTTCATTACTTCTACTTCAATTACTCATATCAAATGTAACGATTAATCCACCCTGGCCAACGACTGGCATCCAACGCTTGGCTAAGATACCTGATCCCACCTTAACATCCTAAACTTGACGTTCTTCTTGCGAAAAAAATAAGCAGCGGTGGTATTGTAAACAAGCAGGTGACATCGAAAATGTAACAGTGAGCATATACCTACAGATCTGCTGCTGAATGATGTGTTAGGATGTGTAAGGTTTTTTTCGCCATCAATACGTTGATTTTGCAAAAAGGTATTAAAATAGGTGGGATAGTTTTAGAGATATTCAAAAACAGTTGGGTATATCGGGACGAAATTGCACACAGAGTTAGTTGCCAATCGTGTTTGATAAAAAAGTGGAAAAAAAAATTCTCTCCCTCCACTAGTAGAGACAAATGTATTAATCCATCCGACATAATTTCAAACTAGCAATCGGAACTAGATTTGGAGAAAATAAATACGGAAAATTATCGATGCCGCGCGACGAATTTCGATAAAGAATATAGGTGCGAGGGATTGAAATATTTCTCTTATTCACCCCGGTAGTTTATTGCTTTTTGGCGTCATGACATTCAGCACAGTACATCATTCCTCATATTTCCATTTTTTTTTCAACGTTTTTTTGATCTCCTAGCAGGATGAAATATTCTATTCATCTTAATTCACACACCCTCTTGATCAATTCATTTCTTGGACATGTTATTTCTATACTTGGGGAGTATTATTAATACACCGAAGTATGAAAAATACTTAAAATGAAAAGTCTCCAAGAACTCAGAAATTTAAAGTGATATATTATTTATGATGCAGATTGATGAATTTCTCCTGTCTTCATCACCACCTGGCGAAGATCTCGCAAAGCTTGCAGATTTACTAGTGCAGAAATCGAAAACTCAGTCGATCCCTACGCAGGTTTCAAAGAATGATGATGATCAATCCAAGGTAAGTGGGGCCAATATATTTTCATTCTTACTCGTAATGCGCGACTTGAGCATATTTCCGAAAATTATACTTATGCTGAAAAATATATAAATGACACCCTTGTAAGGAAATTGAGCTGAATGAAACCACCCTCCCTTTTATCGATAAATTATATTTCGATCGCATTGGTTGTTTATCGATCTTTGAGTGATTATCAGTTAAGCAGTGACCATGAGTCAATCGATTGCCCATTATTCGTCAATTGCTAGTCTCTGCTGGAGCCAATCATTATTATAGTTATGAGACCACAATAATTCTCAAGGGCTCGCGCTACGTTAGTTTAAAAATTTTTTAAATACCTTCGAATGCCAAGTAATAATGTATTTGTCATATTCATACAGAAAAAACCTCGAGTTGTTGAAGGACACAGACTGCCATCTGGTGATAATCGTACGGCTCATGTTATGGCAATTACTGGCAAAAAGGCCTTTGCAACAACTTCCGGCGGGAAGAAATCGGTAAGTACATGCGTTTCGATTCTTTGTATAGTATATCACGCAATCAGGGCGTAAATTAAATTTCATTTCAGGCGAGATTTGTAATCACACGTGTGGAAAACGAAATTTTCGCCTGAATAGTGGACGTTATTTTACTTTATAAAATCTGCTGCACCTCTAGTTTACACACACTTGTAACATAAAGTACATGACGCAACTCGTGGGTTAAGTCGGATTGCACAGACTCGTGCGATGTAAAATAATCATAATAAAAAAATTTTAAAAATTCTTTCAGGTGAATCAGTCCAATCCAAAATTCTTGTCGCATCAAAATCCTTCGAGCAGTTCAACGCAGGAAGCTCGCATTGAACAACTCGAAAAAAATCTCAAGGAGTTATCCGAAGAGAATGGAGAGTTGATGAAGGCAAGAGATAGTGATGCAGATGTAATTGAACGATATAAAAAAAATTTTCATAAGCGTAAAACGACGGTAACAAAAGACGATCACCTGGTTGACGTAATAGAGGAGAAAATTGAAGAAACTATTAAAGATGCATTTGCAGAACACCAGCAGCAGCACATTTTTGAAGTAAGAATTAAATTTCCATCTATTAACAGTATCTCACTGCCATTACACATCGTTGAATGTCCGTCATTTTCGGTGCCGAGAAATCCTTCATTCACTTCAATTTCTTTTGGCTCATAAGAATCAACTGCGAAATTAACGAAGTGCAAGATGCATATGTTTCAATTTACCACGTTTATTCACACCCAATCCATAGCTGAAATGTTGTCGCGATTTACAGCTGTGCGTCTTGACTTTGAAATATTTGTCTCAATATTACCTGAACAATACTCTGAACCGACGTCATTTGTTTCGCGGAAAGTCAACCTGTAAGTATGCCGTACATAAGTGAAGTTTTGTTACTTTAGCTGCACTTTTCCATTATTTTTTTTTCTCTCTTCGAACGTCATCGGAACACGTGTTAAATTCAGTTTTTCAACGATTAACTTATTAATTGTGCCCAAGGCTCCTGAATATACCGAATAATGTGCTAGGAAATATCCATGAAATTTGCTGCATTTTTTAGAAATCCTGTCACGAGTCATAATAACCCGAGTACTTGAAAATTCTTGAGTATTTTCCGAAACTTGGATTGCTGAGTCAAACTGTTGCCAAACTGCATGCATACATGCTGCTCAGCAGGGTGACTTAACCCTTCGACGAGAATTGCCGTCTCCCCACCGGCGGGTCAGTCAAGGCTATACGCGTGTGTGTAACATTGAAGATAGCAAAGCCAACGGTAGTACTGTTGGGTCTGGTGCCACGCACCTCGCTCTAGAGATAATCATTGTTCTTATACTACACTTCAAGAGAAATTGTGGTTTATACATGTGATTGATCATTTTCTCTACAAATATGAGTGAAAAACTCCATTCCGAGGAATGTGTAAACCTGAGGCATACGTGTTTCCTATAGTTGTGAAACGATCATGGGTCAGTGCAAGAGGGAAACCCTGTCTGTGACGGTAGTCACTCACACATAGCTGGACCGCACGTGATTGTTTCTTCCCTTTCTTTGATCACACCGATACAGTTTGGTCTCTTACTCTCGGCAGAGGGTTAAGGGGAATACACGATTAATTTTCAAAGTAAGAGGAGTTCTCGGCGAATTATTCTCTCCATTCACATCTCGATCAGCAGGAGCTGCGATTCGATATTCTTTTCCTTACTCTTTTTTATAAATACCGCTGCACTCTGATGCTCCTTGAATTGTTTCAGATTGAAATCAGTTCAAAAACTCGTTTATTGCTCAGCAACAAGCCGTGGTATAACCGGAAATTATCGCTTATAATACCCGAAGAGCTTCAAAATGATCGGGTATTTCTCGCAAACTTCGTTACATACAAACGATTATTTTTTCCATCCAAATTCCGACCAAACGAAGCAACGGTTTTGAAATCACGTGGTGTGTATGAAATAGATAATTTTGGGTTATACCACGGCTTTTACTGAGCAATAAAAAAAACATTTTTTCAGCCAATTTCGTACCAGGAAAATGTCTAACCCCCTGCTTCCCCTGCTTCTATGGGCCCGAAAATAATCAGGTATTTCTCTCAATTTCCCTCAAGTTTAGCACGGCCGAACTTCACGCACATGTTTTTGAACAACGAAACATTCGGGAAATACCCGGTAATTTCCAAGCACTCGGGGTTTTATAACTGAATATGTCAAGTTTCGCATGTGAAAAAAAATCTTTGTATGCAGGGAGGTTTGTGGAAAATACTTCGATTCATTTTGAAGCTCAAGGGATATTCGGTGATACGTATATCCATGGTGTTGCATGATTATTTTTTTTATTCAGATTCCCAAAGCTCAGCAAGAATATCTGCTCTCTGATCTGTTCATCAAGAGTCTGCTGAAAGAATTAACCGCACAAGACATGTGCTACAGAGTAGTGCAGAACCTTTGGGATCGGGAGACACGTAATGTAATTCGGTATAACCAGCCTCGGGAGAAATCGAAAGGATTCAGGTTCGTCGACCCCAAGGAAACCCAACTGATAACTCGTAAGTTGGACAGCAAAACAACACAAAGAAAAAAAGTTTCTGGTTTAATTAGTTCGCTTAGAATCATACAGTGAAGAATGGGAAAAGAGGCCTCTGTTGACTGTAGCATTGTTCGGTATTAAAGAGATACGCAACCAATGCTGAAGTTCACACCGACCTCTTTCCCAATTTTTTACTGTGCAGTAAAAATTGCACTCAAATTTATGACTTTTTAATGTCTCCAGCACTCTGTGATACTGCAATGACTGAATTCAACCAGAAATTGATACTGAGAACCAGGGAATTCTTGTCTCTGTGAAAAATTACAATCCTGGAACGTTCTAGCATATTAGTTTTGTCAGCAGTATTCGTTAGTTGGCGATGTAGTTCAGGTAGTTCAGTTCATCACATTCCAAAATCGTTCACTCAATTTACGTTATGTCAGAATTTTGGTCACACTTGCCATTGCCATTTTGAACTAACTGTAGGCAGATGTAAACTAATTGTTACAAATGTTTCGGTATTAACAGTTTGAAACCTTTCCCGTGATTCGTATTTTCAATTACCCAATCCGATTTAGATACACTGATTGTATATATCTGACAGTCCACTCAATGTATTGTCACCATGGAGCTGTATCCGAATTCCAAGTTATATTGTCACTAGTCATAAATATTCGTCATATTTCCGTCGATCTCACAACAGCTAATGACATGTTACATAAAGGGTAAGTGAAATGTCATGTAATTCATTCGCATCTCTGATTTTGTTACAAATATGTGCATCCGTCTCCTTCAGATTTCATGATGAAATTACTCTTTGTCGAAGGAGGAACCTTAGCCGAATAGCCCCACTTACGCTCTTACTTCCCGCTACTGAAATCCAGATTCCCTCTTTGGCGAAACTGAATATATTTTGAATTTCACCCGCCTGAAAGAAACCCTTGGCATCGTTCAAAATTAATCCGTACACCACATTGATAGAAGGTTAATGCTGCTACGTTCGGCAAGTTAAGAGAACATATATTGTTCGCACGTAATTTTTTTCTTATATGAAAATGAGAAAAATTATTTGGTTTATAGCATGAAATATACTAAAGTGCGTCCTCTAGCGTTATTAATCGCGATGATTATTATCCTCTAATTCCTGAGGATCGATACAGCTGAAAAACCCCCGTCCCTATCGCGAGTCGCTTGTCTCGATCCCGTTTGACACATGTCTCCATACTCATTCATTCGTCCTCCATGCTAGTTTTGCCCATGTCCCAATCTCGATTTGTAATTTTCATAATATCGGATTATATGTTCATCAATGGCGGACACTATTTAATATATAAATTGGAAATATTCTTAGAATCCTCTATATATAGAGAATATACAGAGATATTATATATCTGAAACACCAATAATAATATCCATCTGTGGTAACAAGAAAATTTTTATATCAAATTCAATAACTTATAACTTATTTTCTTGTTGTCAGGATAAATTGAAACCAAAACAGGTAACCTTTGAAATCGATTATCTATGCGTCGAATTTTTTCAACATTAATGCCAAGTTATGTGTCAACCACAGGGCGATAACAAAAATAGAAAAATTACAATGGAGCACGGTAAAATGGGTGCATTTTTTCAGATGCTGAAGAAATCCTGTGTCAATATCGGAAAATTTGCGGCAAAATACAACAATTTACCGCGGTAAATCCGAATAATATTGCTGCTATTGCGTATCAAACATTGGGACGCTGCCACATGAATTTTAACGGGTCTGTCGAAATGAACCATTTCACCATGCTAGCACAGTAATTTCATGAAATTTTTTTCTCAGTGTATGGAATTTCTGTTAGTTTCATTGGAAATATTCTTAGAATCCTCTATATATAGAGAATATACAGAGATATTATATATCTGAAACACCAATACCCAGATAGCAAAATTATCCGATATGCTAGAATTTATCCACAAGTTTTGGCTAAGGTTTTTGGATAAATTTAAGATCATTTTTCGACAGTTTGACGACATAAGGACGGCATATTTTGATGTTAAACTGTCAACTTAACAACGAAATTTGCTCCAAATTTACTGAGAAATTTGAAGTTGATATGCGCATATGACCATCACCAAAGTTGATGATGAAATTAGGAGTAGATTCTAAATGTAATGATGAATATTATTGCCTCTTTATAGGCGATGAGAAAATGAGTCAAATTTCAAATAAAATTAGCAGCAAATTATTGAATAAAGTACGCGGCAAATTACCCGATAAAATTAGAGGCAACTTATTCGACAAAAATAATGGCAAATTATTAGGCAAAATTAACGGCAAATTATCAGATGAAATTAGTGGCAAATTATCGGATAAAATTAACGGCAACTTATCAGATGAAATTAGCGGCAAATTATCAGATAGAATCAATGGCAAGTGAACGGATAAAATGGGCGAAAATTTTCATTGGAATATGTATTCATATACATGAATAAAATGAGGACTTAATAATGCAAATTTCTTGTGCGTTGAATCTCACTTACCATGCCCAATCATACAAAATTTTTTACGTAACTTATGATAAGTAAGGTTTTTAGCAAGTGTGAGATTTACGGCCCGAGCCGAAAATGAGGGTTGTAATCACTCTCGCCAAAAAGTGTCCCAAAAACTTGACCCGTGGGGAGGTTATATCACGAGCCAGAAGCATTGAAACCCTCAAATTTTTCGTATTTTGAATTTTGCTTGCAAACGATGTACAATGGTCTGAAACGTCAAAATACGAAGTTTGACAACTATGTGTGTATGTGCGGGTGTCCACCTGGTGGTGAACTTCTAGAAAATCTAACTAATAAAGGACTAAAATGATTTTAAAAAATCTAAAATTTAGTCAGATTAGAAGGTATTAATTAGAATTAACTCTGCGCTAAAGTTCAGCTCAATCGGTTTGGCCATTTTTGAGAATTCCTCATTCGTTTCTAAATTGTTCTCCGCAAATATCTAAAAAACTAGCCAGCCGATTTCATTTTTTTAAATTATTAGTCTCAATGTCGCCTATCAGAATCAGTCGAAATATACCCATCCGTACAAAGTTTTCGAGATATCTACATTTTTCTGTTTTCGGCTCAAAACCCTTGCCAACACTCGAACATCCGAAAAAATCAAGAGATTAACTCCAAATTTGGCATGGAGTTTCCTCTTGTTTTTTAGATTTTTTATCTAAAGGTTATTGCGACATAGCGTAGGACGCGTAAATGTTAGGATGTGAATCTGAAATTATGGCTACTAGGTAATATTATTGAGTCCTAATTGTGAATTTGAAATTGAAGTGAAGTTGAAATTTGAAATTCGGGAAGTTGAAATTCTTGCTTCCTGCATATCAAATTTCAACTTCCCGAATTTCAAATTTCAACTTCACGAATTTCAACTCGCGTCGGGAAGTTATACATGTGTCCTGTTAAGGGACACATGCAGCAAATTTCAAATTTTGAATGTCAAATTTCAACTTTCCGAATTTCAAATTTCAACTTCCCGAGTTTCAAATTTCAACATCAAGAATTTAAAATTTCAACTTCACGAATTTCAAATTTCAACTTCACAAATTTCAAATCGCGTCGGGAAGTTATACATGTGTCCCGTTGCGGGATACATGCAGCAAATTTGAAATTTCAAGTTTCACATTTCAAATTTCGAATTGCGAATTTCTAATTTCAAATTTCGAATTTCAAATTTCAAACTTCGAATTTTTTCCTCTTGCCATCGATGTCTAAGTATCCAGAGAAGTAAAAGAGCCATTACGTTGAAACATTTACATTCAGGGACTCTAAAAAAATGATATCAATAGGGGAGAGTGGGGCAAAGTGAAATGACGGGGCAAAGTGAAATACTTGAAAAAATGATCATTTGACACATTTCAGAAAACTTTTGTTTTTTTTCTTATAAGCGGGTTAACATGGAGGTCTCATGAGGGTCATATTTTGGTTATATTGGGGTCATGTAACGATCCTTGTCCTCTTCTAACTCGAAGGGCCAAAAAAGTTGGGAAAAGGGTCACATGGGGTGTGTTTCACTTTGCCCCGCCGTTTCACTTTGCCCCGTCATTTCACTTTGCCCCACCCTCCCCTATCTACACAATTCTGTCGGCAGTATCTTTACCTGATTATCTAGTAAATAGTGATTTTTGAGATATCCACATTCCCTGAGATGCGAAGAAATATTCTTATGGTTTGGTTATTCCTATAACTAGATTTTCTAATGAATTCGTACCTGGATTACTCCATGATGAAAGATTCAGAAATAATGCGGTGATAATGAAAAGCACTGCTGACAAGGTTCTTGTTAATTTGTTAAACGAGAGATGATCAACGTGAAGGGGCTTCAGAATTGAAAACATCCAAGACAAATCATACGGATGAGAAAATTTAAGGGATCTCCTCAGTAAATTTTTTTCTAAAATTTTAGACAAAAATTCACTGAGGAGATTTTTGTCTGAAAAACAAAAATTTAGACAAAAACTTACTGAAGGGATTTTTGTCTAAAATTTTAGAGAAAAATTTACTGAGGAGATCAGTTCTTCTATTGAGGGGCGGTCACACCACTTTTTTCAGGTATCAGAAGCATTTGATGACAAATTCTGGCAATTTTTTTTACAATGTTTTGTTCATGTCAAGAAAAATTGTAGCTAAAACAAAGTTGGAAGTTTTATTTTTTAATAACAATTATTTTTTATTTGTAAGAAAAAATTGAGTAATCTCAAATTCCGCACGTTAGATTTCTCGCGATTTGATATCGAATACCCAATAAAAATTTCGTTGGAAAGCGTTGAAAATTGTAGGATAAGAGGTTTTTTTAGCACACTGTGTGTAAAATGACATTTTACGCACGCTTCGCGTGCGCAAAACCCCACTTCCCGCACATTGTGATAAAAAATAGGGTTCGATACTCACGGGAAAAGTGTTTTTAGACTCGTGGGATTATATCACTCGCCTTCGACTCGTGCTATAAACCTCCCACGAGCCCAAAACCCCTTTCCCGAAATC